CAGCTTTAAGTGGAGGGTGGATTTTTTTTCCCTCCGTTTGCCTTGTGTTTTCCACTTTGAAAGAATGTTGTGGCTGCTCTTTTTTCTGGTGACTGCTATTCATGCTGAACTCTGTCAGCCAGGTACGTAAGCCTTGAAACTTAAAATAGATTAACAGTTTTCTAAATGATTGACAAGTCTTTGACTGAAAGGCCTCTTTATTTTTCTAAATCTGCCACCGTGTCGTGGCTTGAAAGTTGAGCCTGTGAATGTGTTATGAGTTTGAAAGAGAAATTTCAACCACCTAAGATGACTGAAGTTAAACTTTCAGGAGTATTTGGGGCAGTTTAATTGTAGTTCTGGGTTCTGTTGATTTAAGTTGCATTAAATATTAGGATTAGCAGGCTCCATTTTGGCAGATTTTATCATCATATACTACTCTCTCTTTTTTCCTCTCTGACAGATGGAGAAAATGCTTTTAAAGTGAGACTTAGTATCAGAACAGCTCTGGGAGATAAAGCAGTAAGTGAAGAACCTACATGTTCATTTTAAATTTTCTTTGCTAATAACACTGCTTTCTCTGATATGAGTCTCTCTGCAGAGTTATCTTCAACTTGTCTGGATTACTTCTCAAGACCTCATATCTGGGATTTTCTTAAAGCAAAAAAGGAAATTATAGTAAAGTAGAAATTGCTAATGAAGTGATTTTGCCTAAATTATTTAATCTGCAGTGTATGCTGTGAAATATAGGAAGTTTTGTCTCACCCAAAACAATTTTGTGAGCCTAACCGTTTCACCCTAGTGTAGTGGAGCAAAGGGGCCTGAGTCAGGCACTCAGGTCTGGCTTGGGCTCTGCTCTTCACTGTTGTTGTCATTTGAATTTTGTCAGTCAGATCTCTCATCGTTGAAAAGAGGGCATGTTTCACCCACATGAGATCTTTCATAGCACAAGATTTTCCAATTCTAACATGAAGTTTCTTCAATTTTTCTCAAATATCAAAGTAACAACATGAAATATATGCTTATGAAATTGAAGTTAAAGAAGCACTCATGGGGCTCAGCTAGCTATAGGAACAGTAAGGACTGTTGAATTAATAAGATGGTGTGTAATTCTGGTTTCAGTTTTGGTGTGGTCTGTGAGCATTTTCACCAATAGAAGGCGATAGTAAGATGACTCAGGCTAGAAAGGATAAAAGCATGCTAAAGAAACTTAGAAGTGTTGAGTTTGCAGGCCAGTCCGCTAATGTGTAATTTTGTTCACTCAATGAGGAATAGTCTTTATAACCAGCAGCCTTCATTGAGAACTTAGTTTACTTTCTAGCTGGGACCTTTCTGATCCCTTTGCTCACGTTAGCTCGTGTAGCCCTCACAACAGCCCCTTAAGGAACGTGGCACAGATATGCCCATTCTCATTACATGGATGAGAAAACTGAGTTGCAAAGACTTTAAGTAACCTACTCAAGATCTCAAGTCAACAAGGGGCAGAGGGAAGGTTTGAACCCAGGCAGTCTGACTGCAGAATCCGGTCTCTGCCGGTACGGAGGGTTGTTGATCCCAGGACCCTCTGAGGGCAGGCACCAGGCTGGTTGGTGGGGGTGCACTGTAGCAAAATCCCTGCTTCCTTGGCCTTGTGGAGCTTATAGTAGTGGGAGAATTGGTTGTCCATTAAACATTTACTGAACCAAATGCAAATGTGCAATCTCGGCCAAGTGTTCCAGGAAGAAGTACATAGGAGCTTGGGCCTCATTGGGGGCCTCAGTGACAGGCGTTTGCTGTGAGGTCTAAAGCATGAGTAGAAGTGAACCAGGGGATCAAAGAAAACAAGAGTGAACGGCCAGCACGTGTGAAGGCTTGTCACAGGGAGGAGCTTGGTGAGAGTGAGGGGTGGAAGGAAGGCTGAGGTGTCTGGAACTGGAGCAATGAGGAGGACTGTGGCGCATGACGAGCTTAGAGAGGAAGGAGGGTTCAGGCCAAAGAGTATGCAGGCTGTGTTGGGGAGTTTTGATGTTATCTCTAAAGCAAGTGGGAGTTTTATGGGAGAGACATCATGACAGAATTAGTGTTGGGAAGACACTTTGGCCACAGTGTGGAAGACAGATAAGGGGACTAGAGTAGAAAGGAGGAACCAGTTAGGAGGCAATTGGAGGAGGGTAGGTGAGAGATGGTGGCTGTTTGGAGTACAGCGTGTTGGTGGAGGGAGAGCAGTGAAGGGATTTGAGAGCTGCAGGGACTGGATGGCAGGGACAGGAGAAGGAAGGGTTAAGGATAAGCTTTTGTTCTAATTATGCAACTGGATGGATGATGGCCTATTTATGAGTCAGAGAACCGGGTACTGACAAGAAAACCATGGCTTTAATTTTGGACTTATTGAGTTGGAGGTGTTATTGTCAAATAGGCAAGGACAGAGCTGGCTTGAGATAGACACTCCTGCATCAATGGCACAAAGGTGATAATGAAAGCCTGGAGTAGATGATGGTGTTGAGGGAGAAAGTGGAGGGTGACAAGAGGAGAGGGTCTAGCATAGAGCTTTGCGATTCTCTAAAACTTCAATCCCTGGTGGAAGACAGTGAACCTGCAAAGGGGGCAGAGGGGCAGGAGGAAAACCAGGAGAAAGCTGTATCACCAAAGGGAAGCGAGTGCTTTAAGAAGAAGGGAGTGTTTGAGAGCATCAAATGCTGTTGAGAGGCCAAGCAAGATGAGACTGAAAAATGCTCATTGTGTTGAGCACCACAGAGGTCACTGTGACTTTAGAGAGCCGCTGTGTGGTGTGGCGGAACCGGAAGGCCGATAGTGGAGGAGATTAAGAATAAGTGGGCAGCGAACATGTAAAGACCAGAGTATGGACAACTTTAAGAATTTTGGCTGTGAAGGGCAGGAGAGAGAGAGAAGTAGGTAGGGGAAGGAGGAGTGAGTAAAATGATTTGGTTTTGCTGAGGGGTTTTTTGTTTATTTATTTTTAATTTTTAAAAATTGAAGTATAGTTGATTTACAATGTTATATCAATTTCTGGTGTACAGCATAATATTTCAGTCATACGTATATTCTTTTTCATTATAGGTTATTACAAGCTATTGAATATAGTTTCCCATGCTATACAATAGGACCTTGTTGTTTATCTGTTTTATATGTAATAGTTTGTGTCTGCTAATCCCAAACTCCTAATTTATCCCTCCCCACCCTTTAACCTTTGGTAAGCATAAGTTTGTTTTCTATGTCTGTGAGTCTTTTTCTGTTTGGTAAATAAGTTCATTTGTGTCATTTTTTTTTAGATTTCACGTATAAGTGATATCATATGATATTTGTCTTTCTCTGACTTACTTCACTTAGTCTGATAATCTCCAGGTCCATCCATGTTACCGCAAAGAAGACTCTAATTCAAAAAGTATATGCACCCCATTGTTCAGAGCAGCACTATTATAATAGCCAAGACATGGAAGCAACCTAAATATCTATTGACAGATGACTGGATAAAAAAGCTATGGTGCGCACACACACACACACACACACACATACACACACACACAGGAATGCTACACAGCCACAAAAAAGGTTTTGCTGTTGGTTTAATGGGAAAGACTTGAGCATAGTTGAAAGTCTATGAGCGGGCTCCCTTCAGCATTGAATACACAGAAGAGAGGGGAAAACTGATACTGTTTAGATCCTGAGAAGGGCTGAATGGAAGCTATCCTAATAGAAGTGGGTGGATCAGCCATTGACAGGAAGAGAAATACCACATCTGGCCCTTTGGGAGAGGATATGGTTAAGATGTGTGCCTGTGGAGGAAGTTTTGTATTGGTGTCAGGAGGATGGGGGAGTTTAAATGGATGACTCTGAGATGTATCCTTAAATTTTGAAACAAGAGTGTCTAATGAGAGTGAGATGTGAAGGAAAACACTGAGGTTTGGGAAGGACTGAAGGAGGTTTGAAATAGTTGTTTTGAACCACGAGAGAGAGAAAACCAATGGAGAATCGTAAGGGAATCCCAGACAATTTGGGAGTAGGCCATCAAGAATTTAGAGTTAAGCCAGCACACCGTTTTGTGACTTTCTCCAGTTATACTTGATTACGCACCTAAAATCTGGGGTCAGCCACTTCCGTTTGCTCGGGCTGCTGTAACACAGTACCACAGACTGGGTGGCTTAAACAATGGAAATTTCTCTTCTGTCAGCTCTGGAGGCCAGAAATCCAAGACCAAGGTGTCAGTAGTGTTGGTTTCTTCTGAGTTCTGTGAGGGACGGATGTGTTCCAGGCCTGTCTCCTTGGCCTGTAGATGGCCGTCTTCTCCCTGTGTCTGCACATGTCTTCCCTCTCTGCGTGTCTGTGTCCAGATTTCCTCTTCTTACAAGGACCCCAGTCATACTGGGTTAGGGCCCACTCTAATGGTCTCATTTTAACCTAATCACCTCTGTAAAGACACTATCTCCATATATGGTTACATTCTGAGGTACTCGGGGTTAGGACTTTAATATATACATTTCTTTGGGGGAGGTACAATTCAGCCCATAACATGCACATATACTGAAGCTTTCAGCTAAGAAAATAAAAAGAAAAATTGTACTGATATTAATAAAGGAAAGGGAGCTGAGATGGGGAGTCAGTTTATGAGGGATGAGAGACAGAAAGGAAGGGAACCGACCACTGAGGATGTCCAGGATGAGATGTCCAAATGCCCTATTTGTTGACTGGCTAGTAATACTGCAAGTTTTGAAGAAGATAATGCAGTGGGAAACACACTTCTCTTGAAACAATAGAATACCCAGGAAAGTCTATCCTGAACATTATGGTGACATGATTTACCATGGTCTCCAAGTCATTAGTATATAAGAAGGATGAGAGAGACAGATAGACAGATACACACACACACACACACACCCCAACACCACTGTGGCCACAATTAGAGTCCAGTGGATCATTTTTTACCCTGTGCCTTTTGACATTACATTCTCAGTTTTACTTCTCTTTCAGTATGCCTGGGATACAAATGAAGAATACCTCTTCAAAGCAATGGTGGCTTTCTCCATGAGAAAAGTTCCTAACAGAGAAACAACTGAGTAAGTAAACAGTGGAAAGTCTTAATTGATTATTGGCAGTATTATTTGAGGCAGTACATTAAGTCAAAGCTTAATCTTGAAAATAATTTATCAATCTCATTTTTAAGGGATCAACATTCGAATTTAACATTTAAAAAATTTTTTATAATGTTCACCTTATGGTTTATATCATCTTCTGTAACAGTGCTCTTCGTTCAATAGGCACTATGAAGATAAATATAAAAAATGTGTATTTACATGTCATGAGCTTTCTACATTTCTATTTTACACAAATTCCTCTTATACATAGATACATAGATAAGATAGAAAGAGAAGAATTCTTTTCTCATTGTATTGGTCTGCTCGGGCTGCCATAACAAAATACCACTGACTAGAGGGCTTAAACAACAGAAATTTGTTTCTGGAGGCAGTTCTGGAGGCCGGGAAGTTGAAGATCAAGATGCTGGCAAGGTAGGTTTCATTCTGAAGCCTCTTCTTTCAGGTTGCAGGTGCCACCAAGTTGTTGTGTGCTCACGTGATCTCTTTGTTGAGGGAGAGGCGGCTGGGGAGAATGAGCATTATGGTCTCTCTTCGTATGAGGGCACTAATCTATCTGTCAGGGCTTCACCACAATGACCTCATTTAACTGTAATTATCTCTTACAGGCCCTGTGTCCAAATACAGTCAGATGTGGGGTTAGAGCTTCAACAGATGAACTTGGGTGGGAAGGGAATAAATAAGTCCATAGCACTCATTTTGAAAATAACTTAAATACGTATGAGTTTGTGCCACTGTTGGTACCTATCATAGCACTGCATTTATTTTCTTAAAAGCTTTAGGACAATTTTGAATAGTTAGACACTTTTATATGTTCCTTCAGAGGAACCTTCCCTATTTGGGATGTTTCCTTCCATCTGTATTCATGATTAGGGTAACGCTCCTGCTTTCTCTCTACTCCCCACCATCACTCTTCCTCTCTGGAGGCAAAATGATGGATCTGATAGGTGAGCAGGAAGGAGAAACTGGTTCCCTTTCTCTGAGGAGCCGGCCTGCCCTCCGACAGCAGGCCTGTTTCCATGCTGCTCCCCACACTAAGCGCACGGTCAGGGCCTGTGTGGGCAGGCTCACACATCTGCCTGGCCCTGCGTGCTGTCTGCAGCTGCCGACTGCTTAGGTTGTAGGTGCCACATCATAAGGTGTTAAATAGCTTCATGTTACCACAGTGTCTGGTGATACCTGCCTCAGTTCAACTCTTCCTGGGTCACTACAGATGACTTTTTAAATGTTGAAAGTAGTATCTTGGGAAATATGATTAAGTTTAAACTTCAGTCTGTTTTTCCCATTAAGCTGAGATTTTACCTGCCTAGTTTACTCAAATATTGGCTTTTGGGGATAATTTACCATATTCAGCTGGGGGGATAGAAGTCTGACCCAGGCACAGTGTTGTGTTTCTGAGTTAAATGGTGGGGGGCATGGAATGGGTTTCTTCCTCTAAATATTCAGGGATAAGTCTTGTGATCTGAGAAGGAACAACACGCTGTTGTATCCATGGTAAGGGGATTAACGGTCTTGTGCTTGTAAAAGAGCAGCCCGGCCCCTATTTAGTCCTTTGATTTCCAGAAACAAGAGCCTGATTCTTCCCTCCCCTGGGAGGCAGTTGGCCCTATCTGGCGCCAGGGATGGGAAACGGGAAACGGCCCGGGAGCCAGTTCTGAGAGAATTACCTTCAGACCAGGGTTCCCCACACTCGAGGAAAGGAAGTGGACATTTTTGCCTTTTTACCGATTTGCTGACAGAAGCGATTTGTATGTGCATAAATATTGTCTTTTTGTAAAGTAGTCAGACAAAATTATTATTCAAGTGAATTCAAAGAATTCCAACAGACCCATCTATATTTACAAATCTTGAAAATATAGGATTTCTCTTCAAGTCGTGCTAATGGCATTTCAGTTTATTTATTTCCACTGAGGCAAAATTGACATACCACATTATATTAGTTTCAGGAGAACAACAAAATGATTTGCTATTGTTATATACTGTGAAATGATCACCACAGTAGTTCTAGTTAACATCCTTCACCATACATTGTAACAGATTCTTTTTTCTTATGAAGAGAACTTTTAAAATTTAGGCATTTTAGTTTCTTTCTTACATCAACACATTCTTTCAAAAGACGTGGTTGGTTCAATAAGTGTTGGTGGCTGATAAATTTCCCATTTTGTGCAGATCTTAGTGGCTTTCAGTGAGGTCACATTTGGAAGAAAGACCATGGAAGAAGTCATGCTAGTTGTGCATAATCTATAAATGGGAGGAATTTGCATCTTTTGGGCGCTAAGTAAATTAACTACTGAAATCTGTACAGTCCGTCTTCGTGTAACTTCCTGTAGCACCAACTTTCCTTACATGTACACCTTTGCTTGGCTACCCCTAGCTACACTATATTCAGACGTCTTCTTATACTGGAGACTCTTCTGTGTTGTTACATTGTCTGAGTATTTCTGATTGGGAAACAAAGTTTTAGGGAAGTCGTCTCCCTCCTTTCCTTCCTCTCTTTTCTATTATTGCAGCGCTGGCCCAATTTACTTTGTCAGTTTGACTCCTTTGGAATAATGTAGAAACAGTGAGTAAAATCAATGGAGTTCATTACTCCATTTTGTTAATTCATTCATCCATCCATTCTTCTCACAATCCCTTACTGAGGGCGCACAAGGGCCACACTTCAGGAACACAGGGGCTCACAGTGCAGGTCGGACTTGAGCCGTGCCCTGAAGCCCCAGGGCCCGGAGATTCTTGTGTTGCAGATGGACAGAGTGTTTGATAGTCTCCCAGGTGACGCTCAGCTGATAAAAATTTAAAAGGCTGTTCTAAGCTTGAAGACTGTGAAGTCCTACTCAAGGCAGGGATCAGAGCCCCTCCTGACAAAGACTGTGGACAAGCCACGTGAAACCCAGAAGCCCTTTGCCCTCCCCACTGTCCTGGGTCTATTCTCAGACGAGGCATGGAGGCCTGAGGGCAGATGCTGGCATCTCGGGAGTTTTTGCTTCCATTTGGGCTTCAATCTTCTGGTGAGCTCAGAGGCTGTGACCTTGATCTTCAGGGGTCTTAACAGCACTAAACTTCTAGACCTGGCACTTATGGGCAGGGCCATGGAATCTAAAAGCCCTCGCAGTAGGGCTCTTTTCCTACCCATCCCTGGCCATATTGGCTAATCATTGTTAGTTCTTAGTAAACATTTGTGAGTGAATGAAGCATGCTTAACATCTCGGCTCGGAAACCAGGGGCCTGTCTGTGGGGTACGGTGGACACAAGAAGACAGTGTCCTTCCACCCATTTCTCCTTCTTGTCGCAGCTTAGTCCCCTGGGTGGGTATTCTCCCGGTGACCGTGGCGGGAACGGCCATGGTAGGAGTAGCTCCCCGCTGCCTGGGTTTTACCTCTTGTTGGACCTCGGTTTCTTACTCTTGTGGTAGCCAAGACATCAGTTCATTTCTCAAAGCATCATCCAAACAAGGAGAAAGCTGCAGCACACAAGGGTGTCTCCATCTTCTTCTCAGCCTTTGCCTTGCAGCTGTCTCCAGAAGCAGGGTGTGCTTGTCCCTGGCCCCTTCCTCACACCCTTGCTACTGTAGGAAGTGGGCTTACCCGTTACTAGTTCAGCTGCCTACATCTGAACAAAATGTAAACACATCTCTGTGATTACATTTCTACAGGTGATGTTTGTAGAGGACAAGTTTACTCTTTTGTTTGCTTAAAATCTTAGACGTGACTCTTCTTGACCGAGTCATCATGTAGGACGGATACTAGTATTCTTCTATTGAGGAAAACCCTGAGCAGCTAAGACTATGCACCTTTTTTGCTAACATGAATCGTGGAGAAATGATGGAAATGGTGCTTCTTAAGACACCAGTAGAATGGGAGATACCCTGATAAATACTCAACACATTTGAATACATAACATAACTAATTTTTAAAAATTTGACATAATTATTAAGACCAGCATTATGCTGATGGATGCCAGTATCTTACAGTTTAATACAGCTTTCTTATCTTCAAAGTACATTTGTATTTGTGATATATTATCAATGAAGCCAGTAAGAACTATTATTGATCCATTGCCTTTTTTTTTAAATTGAAGTACAGTCAGTTACAATGTGTCAGTTTCTGGTGTACAGCACAATGTCCCAGCCATGAGCATATATACATACATTCGTTTTCATATTTTTCCATTAAAGATTATTATGAGATACTGAATATAGTTCCCTGTGATACACGGAAGAAGTTTGTTTTTTTAATCTATTTTTATATATAATGGTTAACATTTGCAGATCTCAAACTCCCTAATTTATCCCTTCCTACCCCCTTTCCCCAGTAACCATAAGATTGTTTACTATGTCTGCAAGTCTGTTTTCCTGTTTTGTAGATGAGCTCACTAGTGTCCTTTTTTTTCTTTCTTTAGATTCCACATATGAGTGATCTCATGTGGTATTTTCCTTCCTCTTTCTGGCTTACTTCACTTAGAATGATGATGATCTCTAGGACCATCCATGTTGCTGCAAATGGCATTTTATTCTTTTTATGGCTGAATAGTATTCCATTGTATAAATATACCACAACTTCTTTATCCAGTCATCTGTTGATGGACACTTAGGCTGTTTCCATGTCTTGACTATTGTATACAGTGCTGCTATGAGCATTGGGGTGCATGTGTCTTTTTGAATTAGAGTTTCTCCTGGGTATACGCCCAGGAATAGGATTGCTGGATCATATGGTAGATCTATTTTTAGTGTTTTGAGGAATCTCCATACTGTTTCCCATAATGGCTACACCAAGCCACATTCCCACCAGCAGTGCAGGAGGGCTCCCTTTCTCCACACCCTCTCCAACATTTATCATTTGTGGACTTTTGAATGATGGCCGTTCTGACCGGTGTGAAGTGATACCTCATTGTAGTTTTGATTTGCATTTCTCTGATCATTAGCAATACTGAGCATTTTTTCATGTGCCTACCGGCCACTTGTATGTCTTTGTTGGATAATTGCTTGTTTAGGTCTTCTGCCTGTTTTTGGATTCGGTTGTTTGTTTTCTTATAGAGCATTTTGTTATGTCCAGGAAACTTTAAAAATAACTGCTTTGCTCCTGTATTTCTGTGTATGTGTGTGTGTGTTCGTATAAATCTGAAATATATATACTATATACATATGCATTTACAAAAGAATTGCAGAGATAACACAGAGAGATTCTGTGTGCCAGCGGTCGTCGACCTGCAGGGGTTTTGTCCTCCCACTGCCCCCGAGGATATGTGGACATGTCGGGACGCATTTTGGCTTTCACAGTGGGATGTACTATTGGCATCTAGTGTGTGGAAGCTAGGGAGGCTGCTACACTTGCTACAGAAGAATAGAAAACCTCCCACAAGCCAGGGTTATCCAGCCTAAAATGGTAATCATGCTGAAGCTGCGAAACTCTACTCTAGACCCATCACCTGCTTCCTAATGCCGTTCTGTTAAATAACCATGATCGATACATCGAAATTAAGAGGTTAACATTGGTTCAGTACTATTAAACTATGGAACTTTTTGATCTCCTTTTTAAAAACCTATGTCCTTTTTCTGCTCCAAAACCTACTCCATTTTAGTCTGATCCAGTCTGTGACAGTTTCTGCAACTTCCTTTGTTTTTGATGACCCTGCTCTGCCTGTTGTTCATGACCTTGACACTTTTGAAGACGTTTCTAAGTGTGCCTCACCTGTGTATGGTACTGACCTCATGCCCATAGCATGTGCAGGTAGCATATAGAAATGTAGTGTGTTGTGGGGTTATATCTCTGACTGAGGGTGCTGTGGCATTTACAGGGAGGCGATGAGAGATAATCACGTGATGCTAAGCTCAGGAGAGTCCCACGTAACAAGGACTTTCCTACTCATAATGCCAACAGTACCCTCACTGACACATTAAGCCCTTTCTAGTAACTCATGTAGAGTGAGATGCCTTGTCTCAAGTCTAGCAAGTGGTAGGTAGTAGACTTCAAAACAGAAGCTTGATTTTTAGAGTTTTAGTCTAGGGCTTGTTATATCCAACAGTAACTGTCTCTATTGAAATGTTGGGTTGAGTATGTTCAGCAGCAATTTTAATACTTTGGAACTCTTTATTTCTAAGTGGGTAAAATATTTTCATTTTATTTGCCAAGGTGCCACGGTGAAGTGTGAGTTGCCACCCAATGGAAACAGAGTGAAGAACTTGAATTCGTAGTAAGGGACAGCGGAGTTCCATGGTGATGGGGAGAGGAAAGCATTTGGGGTCGCAGTGTGTTGATGGAGTTGTGTGCATCCGTCCTCCAGCTCTGTTTTCCTTCCTAGAGCATCTCCCCACCTGCCAGTGTGTGTATTTGTTTATTTAGGTATTGACCTTCTGTCTCCGCCCCCTCAGAAAGCATGCTCCAAGGGAGGGGGAAGGGACTTTGCTTTGTTTGCAGCTTATTCTCTGAGTCTCTAAAGAGGGGTGCCATGAAATTCATGTTTGAACAGCATTTAGAGAGGCTTTTGATGGAAAGAACAATACAGGCGAAGCATTCAGATGACCTCTTACCTGGTTTCTGGCTTCCTCTGTTATGCCAGCAGTGTCACTTTGTATTTGCCTAATTTCTATACATGCCTTGTGCTATCCGTAATATGCCCCTTCCCATCTTCTTCATTCAACAGTGTAGTTTTGAGATTTGCCCTTTTATAAAAGAAAAAGTGTAACTCTAGATGAGTAGTTTCCCCCCGGGGGTGGTTTTTGTCCTTCAGAGGTTATTTGAAAACGGCTGGAGACTTTTTGATCATCGCTTCCCGGAGGTGGCCCTGATGCTGTCTAGTCAGTAGAGGCCGGGTTTGCTGCTCAACATCCCTCAGTGCCCAGGGCATCCCCGACGTGGAATTATCTGGCCCAAAGCTAATTGTAGAGAAACCCCGGGCTCTGTCTTTCCTTTAATCTGTGGATCAGTTTACCCTGGATAGCACATACCTCATTTACTTTATCCCTTCCCCTGCTGGTGGACATTAGGTTTGTTCCAGTCCTCTGCTCTGACAAAGGGTGTTATCAAGAACATCCTCAGCAATCGGTGCGTGTGTTGTGTGTGTATGTGTGTGTGTGAGTGTGTGTTTGTGACAGCCACACTCTGTTCTAGCAAACACTTCCAGATGCTGTTCCCAAAGAGCCGAGCCCATTAACACCCACGGCACAGCCTAGAAACCCAATTCTCTGCATCTTTACCAGCACTTGATATGATTTAAGTTTTTACTTTTCGCCAAGCTGAAGAGGTAAAATGAGTAGCTCATTTTAAAAAATCTGTCTTGTCTGGTTATTGATAAGGCCAAAAACATGAGTCGTTCACAGCCAACAGCTTTCTACGAAACGGGGGAAGTGTTTTTGCCAAGCACACACCACCTTGTTTTGTTCATCTGACTTTGAAAACCGCACATTTTGGAAGACCAAGCTTGACTGTTTCTGCCAGTAGAGGGCACTGTCCTTCAGTGGTTCTGCACCAGTGTCATTCTGCACCTCCCCAGCCCCCCTCCCTCCCAATATCTGGCAATGACTGGAAATGTGTTTTATGGTCACCATGTGGGTGTCTACTGGCACCCAGAGCATAGAAACCCGGGATTCTGCTAAAACCCTACAATGCAGAAGGCAGCACGTAACAAACAATTACCTGGCCCCTGCTGTGCCAGGGTGGAGAAACCACGGTGTGGACCAAATCCTACTATTTGAACCTTCGAAAGAAAGACAACGACAATCTCTAGGCTAATAAAACAATTTTTATTACTTAAAGTAAGAACAACCTTTAAACTCTAAACTGGGCAGTAAGGGAGAGCATCCCTTCCCGAGAAGGGTGTTCTGGGGAGTAGGCAGGAGGGGCGCGTGGGCAGGAGGAGGCAAAGGGTTGGATCTCAGCGGTGCTTCCTGAATGCGGGCTCTGCAGGGTGGGAGAGGTGGCTCTGGGCTTGGGGGTCCTGCCTAGGGGAGATGGGCCGGGGTGGGGGTGGGGCCGAGGGGGCCGGGGGTAGTCAGGCCCGAGTCGGTGTCCTCCTCTCGGTCGCGGTTGCACTGGGAGCTGGAGCTTCTCAGAGGCCCAGTCTTGGGCACAAAGGACCGGACGACGCCATCTCTCCACACGGGCTGGAAGGCCGACAGCCTGCGCTCCGGGCTCTGACCGCTGCTCTTGGGGTCGGGGCTCTCAAACCAGAGCGGCCCGTCGAACTTCCTTTTCCCTTTCTTGCACTGGCTGAGGACCCTCAGCACGGTCTCCTTGGCGCAGGGGTCGGGCTGCTCCTGGGCGGGGGGACAGCAGTAGATGCTCCCTCTGCGCTGAGGCGGGGCGATTTGGACGGTCACCAGGCTCCGGCTGCGGCGGGGGTTCCGGGCGGCCCACGGGTAACTCCTGCGACGGCCGAGAAGATCCAGCCCCACGGCGGTGCGGAGGGCGGCCCGCTGGGAAAGCGCCTCCAGGCCTCGGGCAGGCACGGCCTGGCGGGCCGCGTCGTGGTCGCGGCGGCGGGGCGGGGCGGCAGGGAGCGAGCTGTCGCTCAGGACCAGGCGGATGCACACGATGGGGCCGTGATCCGCGCCCGGCAGGCGGCTGGTGCTGAGGGCGGGCCTGGGCCGCGGGGGCCGGCGCTCCCGGGCGGGGAGCGGCTGCGTGGCCTTGGCTGTGCCCAGGTAGCTGCTCAGGTAGATGCCCATGATCGCGGGGCGGCGGCGGCGGTGGCGGCGGGGCCTTCGAGGGGCTTCGGCTTCCGCACGTCCTCGGAGTCTTAGACGCGAAGCGCACAGGGCGAGGGCGACGGTTGGCTTCGGCGGTAAGCCCCGCGCACAGGGCGTCGGCTCCGCGAGGCCATCTGGGCACGGGGTCCTGCGCGCGGAGATGCAGCGCCCCGAGGGCATCCGGGCCTCGCGGGCGCCCCTGCTACCTGAGGCGGGGAACCTCCAGCTTCCCACTTCCGCGCGCGCTTGGTCTGGGCCCAGGGGCCCAGGAGTGCCTTGACTTTGCATGTGACGTGAAAGGGAGAAAATAGAATACTTTCTACCAGGTCTGAAAATTACAGAAAATTCACAGATGGGCCCTCTCTTTCATGATTGTAAAAATGAGCATAATGCACTTGAATGCTCCTTTAAGGAAAAAGAGCAAATTTACTTGTATTGGTAAAGGGGATGTGTGTTTTATTCTTCTAGAATGGTTGCTAATGTCACTTACTGCAATTTTGCTCTTAAGGACATGGTGAAAGGCAGTCAGGATTTATGTTTTAGCCCTGACATCTTTGGTTTAATGTGAACTCTCCTATAGTTTTCTACCTTCATACATTCATATACAGATTTTCTCTATCTGAACACTAATGCCATTCCTTTTTTGTCATATCTACTTGTGATCCAGGTATATAGAATAGAATGAGTCACATTTCCAGTTACAGTTGGAAGCAGGTAACCACAAAAACAGTGTTGAAAGCCTGCTGGTAAATGATTATAGCACTTTGGGTTGGAGGTCTGTTACTGAACCAGCTTCAATCCTGGAGTGGGAGAGGGGCAGAAAGTCTGGCAAACAGAGGAAGCAACAGATTTGTCTGGTTCTGAGAGGTGGATGGCTGAATGAGGAGGACACTAAAAAGATCTTGATGCAGAGACACAAAAGGTTTCTTTATCAGAGGTACCCAAATGTTGAGGAAGTGGGGATGCCATCAGCTCACAGGTGATGGACAGTGAGATACCTAACACTTTCTGAGTCATTCTCTTTTTGTCTTTTTTGTGGATTCCTTATTTAAGGAATGATCCCTCAGCGTATGATTTTGAAATAAAGGAAATTTTCTGTATTATTTTCTTCTTAATTTTTTCATAATGGTAGAAATGATTTCATTTGTAACTAAGACACCTCTTAAGATTGTAATAACGTTAGAGTGGAATATCTAATGCAGTTTCATATTTGCTTATAATGCATTTTTTTTCTTCTTATCATCTGCAGGATTTCCCACGTCCTACTTTGCAATGTAACCCAGCGGGTGTCATTCTGGTTTGTGGTTACAGATCCTTCAAAAACTCACACCCTTCCTGCTGTGGAGATACAGTCAGCTATAAGGTAATCACTGCTGAATATGCCTTGTACTGGTGAATCAACTTGATTAATTCAGCTGTTCTCTTAGCTTCTGAGGAATTCTCTCTGCTTCACAGTGATTTATATATTAAGATGTCAAAGATTTCATTTTTGTGGGTTTGTAATAGGAATTAGTGTTGATCACTGGTTCTCCTCCAGGGGCACTTTGACCTCCAAGGGGACATTTGGCAACGCCTGGAGACATTTTTGTTGTATAGTTCTTGGGGGTGGGGGTAGGGAGGCCACCAACATTGAGTAGGCAGAAGTTAGGAATGCAGTTCACATCCCACTCTGCCCAGGACAGCACCTCACAACAAACAGCTATTCGACCCCGAATGTCAGTGTTGTGGTTGAGAAGCCCTGGTTTAAATATTAACCAAGAATGTTTAGTACTGTCTTCTCTGACAAGAACACCTTGTACGGCACTATTGTGTGATGGTTCACCACATGCAGTCTCAAGTCTGAATGCTTAGGTTTTTAATTCTGGCTTCGCCTCTTGCTCACTATTTGAATATAGAAAAGTTACTTCCCCTCCTTTTGCTTCCTCTTATCATCTATAAAACAGGAATAATTATGGTATTTTTCTCTCAGAGTTGTTGAGAAGATTAAATGTAAGGCATTTTGAGGGACAACTCATATCTTTGACTTTTATTTAAAAATCAAGAAAAATATTCACATTTTTTGGGTCTCTAAGGTCTTGCCTTCTTTAGTCACTGTACAGTCTTTAAAAGATACTTTTTGGGTGAAAAAGGAAAATCATGACTCTCAAACAAATTAAAAATAAATGCTATCAAAGATTTTATTATCTCATTAATTCATGAGGGAACTAGTAAGAGTTTAAAACCGGTTCAAAGGAGACTTCAAGGAAGCACACAAATATAGGAATTGAGGAATGGTGATGTTCATTTAGGAAGAGATGCCCCAGGCTATCCATCAGGCAGTGTTTCACCAGACATAATTCTCCTTAATTTTCTGTGGACAAGAATCATTTACATTATATCAGTTTTCTACAACCTATACATTTGCAAAATAACTCAAAGATAAAGGTGGAAATTGTCCAGAAAAGTCAGCTTGCTGGGCACTCAGTGATATTTTTCGCCCATTTCAAGTTTTACACATTTTTTCCTGACAGTTCCCCTCCTCCTCTCCTTGGGGTTGTAACAAACTTTCAAAAGTGAAATGTATTCTTTACTTCTCAGAAGCAGAGGATGCAATTTGTTTTTATTTAATGTGTACTTTATTTGTGTCAAAACTTTGAATCCCACACATGATTGGTGTTGGGCAAAGGTATATAGGAAGAACGAGTTCACAAAATAAACTATTTCCTGAAAAGGAAAGAGTGAAACAAAGCAACTCTCCTTACAAAGGGTTTACAAAGTTACTGAAATGCGTATTAAACTCTTTACCAAAGAGAAATATCTAGTGAAAGAACTCTTGCTCTTTGTAAAATATTAACATTTAAGATAACAAGTATTTAATCAAATACCCAATGATTTTGTGCGAACAGTCATCTATGTTTCTTGCTGAAGCAAAGCCATTGAGGATCTAGACCAATGGTAAATAATTTATACTGCTTTAACAAGACGGTTTTAACTAAATTGTTTCTGCACTTCTGCCACTGAGAATACCGTTAAGACTCACCACTTAGGGAGCAAGAATTAGGAATATTGTATTTTATGAGAAAGGGGATTTTATTCAAGCTCTGTGACCTGAGACGGTTACAAGGTAAATGAAGGCACTCTGGTTAAACCAGGCTTCAGCTAATGTGAGGAGGAGGAGTAAGTATTTGGGATGAAGGTGGAGGATGTAGATGAATATGTTCACAACAAAATGTCTGTTTCAAAGACTCTGGGAGGAGGAGCTATTTAGGTGGCAAGGATGGCTAATAGAATGATAATTTATATCAGGGAATAGATAGGGCTCATCAGGAGTGTATGAAAATAGAGGAAACAGTACCACGAGGGAAGGATTGAGTGGAAAGAAAGGAGATGGTACCTAGAGGGCAGGCAATAAGAATTTCAAGGCTGAAGAATCTATGTGGTTGGACAGAATAATACTCATCCCACCTAATGTTTGCATAATACTTTCTAGTTCACAAGGCATGTTCTGATGCATTTGTGGCATTTAGTATCAACAGTAATCATTTTTGAGTAATTATTATTATCCCTGGTTTATAAATGAGGCTCAGGGAAATGAATTGATTTGCTAAGGTCACCATGCTAGAAAAATAGTGAGGGCTTGAACCCAGGGATACTGCTACCACATCCAGTGATTTTTTTTCCCCTCTACTAGAATATCCACACTTATGGAATTAAGTGAAGGGATGACAGACCAGTTCTAAGATGTCTGTTTTAGATTTACTGTGAAGACTTGACCTTATTCAAGGCCAATCTTGGCTGGAAGATAACCATGGTGATTGACACCTATTGGGGATTTCAGCAGTGGTTTGAGATATAGTTTGTACTGAACTAGAACTTTTAATTAGCCTGAGTGCTAACCAACCAGGTAGACAGAATAAGAATGCAGAGCAACTTTGCATTTCACTCTGAATTATACCTTGGTAGTGGGGTTCATTATTTTGTAGCAAGGTTTGTGTTGCCACATTATCAATATTAAGTTATGAAAAAGGAAAACACTCTGTGGTTTGTTAAAAATTGTGTTAAAATTATCCCCTGCTGTAGATTTTCTGGCTGGAATTCTCCTTCACATTCATGAATAATCATGCCTCCCCATAGATGTTCATTTGCTAAAGAAGGTCTTTCCTGCTACCCTTCTGCTCTCCAGAGATTGTCAAGCTATTACTCTTAGGTTCAAGACCTGTGCTGTCTTATACCATAGTCACCAGCCACATGTAGCTCTCAAGCACTTGAAATGTATCTAGTCCAAGATTAGATATGCTCTAAGTGTAAAGAATTTCAAGGACTTAGCACAAAATAAAATGTGAACCAACTCAGTACTGATTACATGTTGAAATTATACTTTCTTGGATATATATTGGGCAAAAATATATTATTAAAATTAATTTTACCTGTTTCTTTTTACTTTTTAAAGAAATGGAGCTGCTAGAAAATTTTAAGTCACACGTGAGGCTCATATTATATTCTGTTTTTCAGTGCTGCTCTAGATGAACTCAGCTAGTCTAGTGTGAATTCAGTAAAGGCCATACAGTATCTCCAAGAAATCCTCTCACCAAATTTGCAAATTCCAATTAGAAATCACTTATTTCATTTCAGTCAAATAAGTTTTTGCTACCACCCTCTCCCTAACTGTCACCACCACCAAAAGTGCAGATTTTCCCCAGGAAAAGTAACGCATTTACCTTCATATTTTTCTAGACTTTTCGACTCCTAAAGCATCATTTACTTTAGTCATATGGAACTACTTGCAGTTTACAGAACAAATCATACTATGCCATGTCTCCAATTCCTGTGTTCTCTATACAGTCTGGTCTAAAGAATTCCTGCTTGTCCTTCAAAACACAGCTCAAAAGTTGCCTTCTTAGGAAAGCAGCCCTGACTTCTTACTGTGATATACTCACCCTTCTGCTGTGCTCCCACTGTGCCCCTAGTTGGCTCTTTCATAGAACTGTTTCTGCTGCACTGTGATTGTGGAGGGACTGATTGGCCTTTCTTCTAGACTGTGAGCTCCTTGGGTATTTTTATTTCACTTTGTATCTCCAGCACCTAGCACAGTATCTGGTGCTTAGTAAGTTTTCAGCAAATGTTTGTTGAATTGAATGGAAAAAAAAGATCAAATCGATGGATTTGCAGCTGATCCTGACTTCAGGTTTTCTTTTCTGCCCCTGGTTTTCTTTTCTTCTCATGTTTATCACCCACTTTTTACATATTACTTTATCTTTTTGAGCTGTTGGTATTTATGTAAGCCACCTTAAATAGAACTCGGTCATTTTAATCTACATGCTACCCGTCAGAAAATAAAACATGGTGGGCAGAGCTCACAACTCAGGACTTTGGGTTACTTCTAGGATATGCACAACAGTGGGGGGCAGCAGTGCCTAGACAGGCATCTCTCTGGCAGCCGGCAGTGCAGCGTATGAAAAGAAAACCACAGCATGACTGCCCTCATCAAACTGCCTTTTTAACCTGAAGTCTCATGCTAGGGGGATGTCCTGTTTATAGAGATAGTTATAATCATGGAGAAATAAGGCTATACCTTCTGTTTCTAATGTTTCTTCTAACTTGTTTTTAACCATCATTGTGTTTTAGAATGAATAGGAACCGGATCAACAATGCCTTCTTTTTGAATGACCAGACTCTGGAATTTTTAAGAATTCCTTCCACTCTTGCACCACCTACTGACCCACCTGTGCCCATCTGGATTATTATATTTGGTGTGATATTTTGCATTGTCATAGTTGCAACCATGCTATTGATTTTATCAGGAATCCAGCAACATAGAAGGTAAGATATCTAAAGGGAGTGATTTAAAGAGCATTTTCCTTTTGCCCTATGACTTGGAAAAATGAGAGGATTTTCCCTTAGCTGAAGATAAACCCTTATCTGAACCTAAAAAAATTGGTGATTTTCAAAATATTTCTTATGCTCTTGTTTTTATAGACTTTCTGGAGTTCATTGTTCCTTATTTAACTATGACTCCTTCCATTACTGTCTTTGTTTCTATTCTACACCATGTGAATATTTCATTTCTAGAGTTGATTTTAATATTTGTGTTATGATTTTGTAAGCTGGATATAGAGAGCTAAGCAGACTTTCTGGGTAGGCAGAGTTGATCTTTGGTAGTTATCCACCTCCAGATGCCAGTAGTTCCACAGGCCTTTTCATGCCTCCCCACCTTGGCCTGCCTCTTCCAATGTCTGCAGCTGCCATCTTGTGCCATGTACTTTTGTGGTGTTTTATACTTCCCACCCCTTGATAGACGGTAATCCCTCTAGTGCCTATGATTTTATATAGACCCGTGGCCTTTGAATCAACTCCCTTCATCAAAATCACCTGGAACACTTGTTTAAAATGTAGGTTCCTTTTCCCTACCACAGACCCACTAATGTCAACTATCTGAAGGAGATGCATTTTTTAAAATTGAAGTATAGTTGGTGTACAATTGGAGGAGATGCATTTGAATGAATATCTAGGCTATTCTAATTCACTTAGTTTGAGAGCTTCCAATTTAACTATTTACATATAGATTCCCATTCCTGAAGTTCATTTGCCTGGATTCTGGGGCACGTGCAAACTTTGCTGTCTAAATTGTTGATATTACTTCAAGAGAGAATTTCCTACCAGTGGGAGAGTTACTAAGGTAGAGAAGAGGCAAGATTTCTCAGTACAGTGAAAGGAGAAAATACTTTTGTTTGCAAGTACCTCTGATCCAGAGATGAAGTGGAGAGAGTCTTCAACTCTTTAGTAGACATTTTGATGCTTCTAAACCTTCCTTTCTGGTAAGTGGGAATCACAAGAACATGAATTGGTTTTCTGAAAGATGGGTGCCCACACAGGATGTGCGGGTTATGTTTGGCCAAGTATGTATTCACCCCCGTGTTTCTCCTGAGCTTTTCTAGTTTCCATATGTTTCACCCTGATTGCTAGCAGAAGGTAATCATTTTAAATTTGGGGCTTTGCAATTTTTTTCACAAATAGTAACTGAAGTGCTATGGAATAAATATGATTTATGTCTAGTTCCTAAATTAAACTCAAAAGATTAAGATCAAGTTGTAGTTGCTTAATTTTCTTTTTTTTATTTTTTAAGCTTTTTTGGAGAGGGGGGTAATTAGGTCTGTTTATTTATTTATTTAAAATTTTTTAATGGACGTACCCGGGATTGAACCCAGGACTTTGCACAAGCTAAGCATGCTCTCTACCATTGAGTTATACCCTCCCCCTTCTTGCTTGATTTTGTTGATCTTGGCATGACAAATAATACTAAGAGACTTGATACAAATTGTTCATTTGTATCCATTAAGAAATAGTCTCTTGCAGTATTTGAATACCTTTATTTAATATCTTTAAGTATCCTGAAATGCTATGATTCTGTGGTTTCTAACAGTTGTAACCTTTGTGAATTCACCTCATCTCCTTGGTTGCCAGTTTCCTCACTAGTGAGATATAGTGTAGGAGTTAGAAGAATGGACTCTGGAGATAGACTGCTTAAATTCAAAGTATTTATTGCCTAGACTCTGCTCCTGTGCATAATCCATTAACTGTGGATATCAGGAAGCACAAGCAATGAGTCAGGGAAACCAAGCTCAACAGAATATGGTTTGTGGTGCTCGAGTTAAGTTGGTTAAATTTTTCTTTACTGTCTGTGCATAAATAACTTTGCTAGAGTGACAATGGGGTACATTAGAAATAATTCATTTGGTGGAATCAAAAGAGTTAATGCGGTAGCGTGCTTACAGTAGTGCCTGGTGCACAGTGAGCGCTCAATAAGTGTTAGCTGTTACTAGTATTTTATTATCCTGCCAGTTGTTGGTCTTTCAGCTAGTTTGCACTGGGATCAGCTATCTCTTTCCTTCTGAGTAGATTCTGCAGTAATATAATAATTGGGTGTGTAGCATCATAATCTGTTGCCTGGGAGAAGTGAGGCTGTTGTCACAACCTTGCCTTCACAAATTTATTTCGTGTTCAAACTAGGAAAGCAGATGGACAGATCTCCTGTGTAAACCTGGACAGCATCAATAATTAGCAAATACAGTCAGGACAGTTATGATAACCCTCTGAAGATAAATTGATTTGTTGTGTTTTACGTCTGATACAATCTGTGGTGGGTTTCTCTTGGGTAAAGTATTGCTCCAAAGGTGAGGAGAGAGTGCAGTTGGAGTGGGAGAGCCCTGATAATTGTGATGAAAGCCTTTTCTAATTGTAGGAAAGATGGGAGTTACCCCTCAAAGCCTTTAGTATTAAGAAGACAAAGATTTGCTCAAGAATTCAATCCACACATTAGATAATAAATGGACATAATTTCTGTGACAAAATCTTAAACCTAGAAGACAAGGAGGGAATACAGTGTCATCTAAATTACCATTCTGCCTCTACGAAGAAGAGTGCCAGTGTCATTTAAGATATATGCGTATTTAAACTTACTATTGAGCTTTAACAATTCTGTGAGGTGTGTCAATACAGCTTTGCATTGATTATTCAGAACCACTGGGTGGAAAGTGTGCAGTCATTGGGCCCAAACTAGTTGAACTCAAATACTAACTATACCCTTTAGCTGAATGATTTTGGTTGAGTCATCTAATTTCCATGGGTCTGTTTCTCCACCTGTAATAAGGAGATAATGCCTCATGGAGCTTCCATGGGGATTGGGTGAGGTAAATATGTATAAAGTACCCAGGATATAATATGCACTAAATAAACAGTAACTGTTATCATTCAAGATGAAGTTAACCTATTTCTGTGATTAAGGGATACTAGAAAAGGATCTCTTTTCCATCCAGATGTTCCCACCAGACTGTAGAAAATTTTCCAGTTCAATGGCTCATTTCTTGGGATTTTATTAGTTAACGAACACCTATCTTAAAAGGCAAATGATCTTCTTAGGTCTGCTGGTTACTATAATAGCAGTAAGCTAGCTAACCAGCTCTCTAAAAAAAATACCTGATTTGTAGCATTTGCCGACTTCTTATGAAGTCTGGAATTTCTGAATATTTAACAGTCACCTCTTGTAAACCTGTACTAGCCAGTTTCAGGACTCTATTACAGCTGCCACCTTTTCGTGAGATAATTTGAGGAGATTGCCTCTCTGTTACCATCTACTGAGAATAGGAGTTTGTGGAAATGAGAGATTTGTTGAAGGAAAAAAGTTGGGAAAGTTTTTTTTTTTAACCTTTGGGCAACAATTAGGGAGTTGAATAGGTGGGAAGGCAACGAAGATGAGCTGCATATACTTCACAATGATGTTTGTACTAAATCTGTGTCTAGCTGTAGCCTGGAAGTAGATATTTCAGTTCTCTGGTTAGCTTTATGATGCTGGTGATGATGATAATGATGGTGGTGATAATGGCACTGGTGATGGTAGATGATGATGGTGACAATGATGATTGTGATGGTGAGGGTAATGTGATAATGGTAATGATCATGAAGTTGCTGATGTGAGGTGTGTTTTAGTTGAAAGAGCACTGGATCAGTACTCTCAGTTTCGGGTTCCAGTCTCAGGCCCTGGCATTTATTAGCTGAATGGCCTTGATCTGGTGACATATGGATAATGAGGATAATATTTTCTTAAATAGTTAGGATGATGGGAAGACAAGATTAGAGAATACACACAAGTGCTTTATGCACTGGAAGGTGTTCTATCAATGTAAAATACTATAGCACCACCATCAAAAAGCAGTTACAAAGTGCTAATTCTATATAACCTGGCACTTTGTGCTATAAAAGGAGAGTCACAGCACAATTTCAGACTTTCATGTATATGGTAGGATTAATTCATGAATCCCATACATAAGCAGATTGTTATAATGTTAGGGTCCTTAACAATGATATAAATCCATCTCTCCAGAAGCCAAGGCCCAGAGAGATAAAAATATCTTATTCCTTTATTGACTATCCGTTCTGTGATAGGAGATATAGAACTATATAGAACCATCTCTTCCATACTGTGGAAGAGACGTACATAGATAACATGGATGGTCCTTGTCTACAAGGAGATTATAATCTTATAGTTGGTAACAAAGCGAGGTCAAGGACTCAGGACCCAGAACCCTAGCTAATCCTCACAGTTGAACAGAGTCACTAGTAAATTCACTTGGTTTATTTCTGGTTATATTTCTATTCCCATAAAGTCAATAGTAACAGAAGGGCATTTGGATTTCTATACATCTTTTCACACAAGGCGCTGCGACTCAGCCAACATTTTCATATACTGAAATTTTACATTCTTATAAAGTCTTAAATGAACAAATAGTCTTGAAAATAGAATTGTAAATAAAATCAGAACTATTAGAGCTAATAATTGTTTTACTTTGCTGTTCTTAAATGTACACACTCAATAAGCAATCTAACATGTGTTTTGAGTGAAGCCTGGGGAGATTAAATAGAGTTCTATCTGGGTCCGCTCCTTTCACCAGTCTTGTCCCATTCTGAAAGACAAGTTGCTCCACATATTTGAATCTCAGCTCCTTCATTTGAAAAACAGGGATAATAATAAAATCTGTATAGTGTTTGCAATAGGAATTAGATGAGATGATGTGTACACTTAGTCTGGCTTCTGCCATGTAATAGGTACTGGTTTCTGTTGGTTTTGCTATCACAGGGCTGATAAAAAGTGATCTGCCTACAAGCAGTCATATGGTTAGAAAGTAGGGGTCCCAGTATTTAAACCAGATGGGCTTGATGCCAAAGCCCACCAGTCTCACTGTGCTGTAGTGCCTACTGAAATTATTCCAGCAACACTGCTATTTTCCTCAGGAATCATCCATACTGATTATGATGACAGTCCCAAT